TTTTTTTTTTTTTTTTTTTTTTTTGTCTTAATACGAAAAAAAAAAAAAAACTAAAGGAAATTTATGCATATTATAAATTTTTTTTTGTAAGAATCAAAAAAATACATTTACATTATATTTTATTTTTTGAATATAATATTTAATGTAAAAAAAAAAGAAAAAGATAATACCAAATAAAAAATATATTAATAAATAGTAGAAAAAATAGAATGTTTTAACTAAATATATAAATTTCAGTGAGTATATAACCATTAAAAAAACATTTTTTTTAATATTTAAAAACAGTAGTTGTTGATTCAACTTATTTGAAGTAAAATAAAAATGTTTTCTAATTTTTGACTGTAAGTTTTATCTTATTGTTTTTCTTTTTTTTTTTTTTTTTAATTTTAAACATTATCTATTTTCTACTTTAACGGATATATATATCTCATTTTTGCTCTCATTTTTAAAGAAAAGTATCATAATAATTTTTATACGTAAAAATTACTTTTTGTTAAACAATTTCAGTATTTCATATACTTCTAAATATTACGTTGTTATATTTTGGGTATATAACAATAAATATTAAGATATCTATAAATTTTCCTTTTTTACTAAGAAAAAAAAAAAAAAAAAAAGCAAAGGGAAATTAGTTAAGGAAATATATTTTTAAAATTTAAATTATACCATTTTCAAATATATTTGTATTATATAAATGAAAATTATCAGAAATAAATGCTAATCTTCCTTTTTTTTTTTTTTTTTTTTATCAATATCGGTTGACATAGCATTTAGAATTTATCCTTGAAAATCAAGAAAATAAGTTTTAACAATAATTCTTATTAGTGAAATTTTACTAATATTTTCCTTATTAAATATTTCTTAACCCTGTTATTTCAAATATTTTAATTCTATATTTTTATGTTTCACAAAACATACAAAAAAATAGTCTATATTTTTGTTCACTACTTTCCTCATTTTCCTTTAGTAACTTGTATTATTAATTTTGACATATTCCAAATAATAATATTATGGAAAAATGAATAAAAAAAAAAAAATAAAAATTTAAATATATTTTAAATAATAAATTTTTTCTTGATAAGTTATAAATTTTTAATCTTTTTTTCTTTTAATTTCCTAATTTCTTCTAATTCATGTTCTAAATCTTTTTTTAATTCAAAGTTTACTAAGCAATTATAGTTATTAGATCCTTTTTTTTTAAGTTGCTCATACTTTTCTTTTTTATTTATTTTCTTTTTTAAAGATAAATTAGTCTTATCTTGTTCGTTTCTTTTTTCAACTCCATCATTTTTAGAATTATACAAATTTTCAAAATAGCTTAACTACATAAAAGAAAGAAAAATTATATTAATTTAATATATACATATAAACATAAATTTAACATGATAAAATATATTAATTATATTTACATTGTTATTTACTAACAAATTGTTTCATTTAATTATTATGTATATTAATTTGAATTCATTATAAATATTTTCTTATGTGATTTCTTAAAATTTATATATATAATATATTATAAAATAATTTTCAATTATTTTTATTTTTAATACTTTTTTTTTTCCTATTGGATTTTTTTTTTTTTCTTTTATATTTTGAAGATAAGAATTAACGATATTATTTAATTTATCAATACTATTTTCACTTTTTTTGTTATTTTTACTTTCATTAAACAATTTATCTTTGCTTAATTCAATTATTTCTTCTTTTTTCTTGAAAACTGTACTTTCTGTAAGCCACCCATACGACATCTTTTTGCTATAATTTTTTTGTGTGTTTTATAAAATAAAAATATATTAAAGAATATATAAAAAAAAAAATTTAATAGAGACAACAAATTCAAAATGAATTTCTTATAAAAATATTAAAAGAAACTCCTTTATTCATCTTTTTTTCTTTTTTTTTTTTTTTATCATTTTTTTTAAAATAAATTATTTATTGTTAATTTGAACGTTTGAAATAGGAAAAAAAAAATTATATAATACTAAAAATAAAAATGTTATAAAATTTATAATTATATAAATCACTAAATTATTTTATTTAAAAAAGTAAAAAAAAGTTTTGAGTATTTTTTTTAAGGTTTCAAATTTATTTATAAACTTTTTTTTTCTTGTTTTTTATTGTTATAATATATTTTAATATTATACGGAATTATACAAAAAAGAAAGATAAAAAATTTAAGGAATAAAAACTTCTTCTTCTTTAATCATAGTTCCGTTTAGCCCATTACTCGCTATTATATCTTGGTTTTCTAAAAAGTGAAAAAGAAAAAAAGAATAAAATTAATAAAATAAATTAAATTAAAATATATCATTGTGCAACAAAAAAATATAACAAAAATTATTAAAAAAAAAAAAAAAAAAGATACTATAATCTATTCTTTTTTTTTTATTAAACCTATTATAAGTAATTCTAAAGAATTTAAACTATTTTTTATGACATTCTAAAAAAGAATAAAAAAAAATTTATTTTTAAAAATATAATACATTTTAAGGGAAATTATGAAATAAGAAAGATATATATTAATATAAGTGGATGATTAAATATATATATATATTTTTAAAAAAAAAAAATTTTTAATTTTTTTTTATTCAAACTTGTAATATATTTAAAACTTGTGAAATAATTAGAAGAATATTTCCCTTTTGTCTAGTTATAAAAGATAATAATAAAGAAGAAAATAAATCACCTGTACCACATATATTAAAATCAAATCTTAAAAATTTATACTTAAAGCAAACTGGTTTATTTTTATTATTTAAAAACCCAATATATAAATATAAATTATCTTTATCAAAAATATAATTAATAGAAGTAACTATAACTATTTTTACTCCTTTAAATAACAAAGATTTTATAGAATTAATTACATCATTTTCATCAGATATTTTAGTATTGCATAATAATTCTAACTCATATTGATTTGGTGTTATTATATCAGCAAAAGAAATAAAATTTTTATAAGTATTAACCACACCATTATCAACATATAATTTTCCATTATCTCCCATTACAGGATCACAAATCCAAAAAAAATTTTCATCTATTAAATTTTCAATTAAATAGTTATCTTTTTTTAATATTTTTTCATTTGAACATATTGCTTTTTTTTTTTTTTTCAATTCTATAATATTATTAATAACTGTTTCAACACATTCCTTTGATCTAATATATCCTGTTAGAAAATATATATTGTTATCTACATTTTGTATGCTCTCATTAAATTCATTTAAAATTGTTTTTAATTCTTCACTTTTTATTTCTACACCAATATGTTTAAATTTAGAATAATATTGAACGGTATTCAATATTTTAGGAATATGCCCTCTTCTTCTTAGAACAAAAATAGCAACATTATTTCCACAAAATCCATCAAAAACTTGTGATTGAATTGAAATAATATTTTCTTTATTCATCTATGTTAGAAAATTAAGGAAAAAAGAAAAGAAAAAAAAGGGAATATAAATAAAAGATTAAAATATATAAAAAAAAAAAGATATATAATAAAAGAATTTTTGTTTTTATAACAAATAAGAATATTAATTTCAATTGAATTAATTGTATTATTTAAAATAAAAAAAGAGGAAAAAGGGCTTATAAAATTTTCATAAACTTATATTATTCATTTTTTGTAGATTTTATAATTTTATCCATATTATCTCTATATATAACATAAAAATTATCACGATTTGAATTATACAATATTAAACTTACGTAAAAATAAAAAAATAAAAAATTAAAAAAGTTATACTTAATCATCAAATTATGAATGTTTTTTTTTTTTTTTTTTTCAACTTAATTTCACTCTTTTACTTAGAAATGAGTGCGTGAATTACTTTGATCACCATCAATAAAAGAAAGAAAAGAATTACAATTATATAATATATGTAACCTCAGAAAAATTAAAATCTTTATATTTGGAAAACGAACTAATTTAAGTATGTAATATATATTATATATAAAGTTATTAATTTTAAACCATTTATGAGATAACATAATTGTAATACTCAATTAATAAGTAACAAGTGCATAGTTCAAAATAATTTAAAATAATATAAAATAATAAAAGTTACTTTTATTTTATTTTATTTATTTTTTTTTTTTAAACAGACTAAAGAGTATCTATGTCTTTTATTAAATAAATTCATTAGCTATATTTTTATTATTTCATTTATAGTTTAAATCTTGAAAAAATTTACTTTTTTAAATGTAAAAATATTATTTTATATAATTTAATTTTTTTTTTTTTTTTTTTGTTAAGAGAATTTAATCCTTAAATATATATATAAATTTTGTAATTTGTTTTTGTAATGATTGATTATTTAAATATTTTTATGATAAAAAATTTTTTCTAATTTTTTTTTCTTTTGAAGGTATAGCTTTTTTTTATTAGTTCTTTCAAATATTTTTTGATTTATTATTTTTATATATAATCATAATATTTATTATTAATTTAAATATTAATAATAAATTCTTTAAAAATAACAAATTTTTTATTTTGTATGTATATTTAATTATTTATTATAGCTACACATATTCCATAAAAATAATTTATTTAAATATTTAATAAATTTAATATTTGGCACAAATATATATATATATATATACTTATAGAAGAACGAAAAAGTACACACCATGTAATTATAATATAAATATATTTTTTAATTATATTTTTTTTTTTTTTTTTCAATATGAAATCAAGGTTAATTAATATAATATTCATATTTAAGTATGAATTATATTTTTATATTTATTATTTTGTTTTATTTTTACTTGAAGTTAATTCTTCAAAATATAGTATTTAATTGTTGATTTGTATTATACTATTTTGAAATTTTTTTATTTTTTTTTTAATTTTAGCTTAAATTATTTTAGCTAATGAAAATTTTTTTTTTTTTTTTTTTTTTTTCTTTTATATATATACAATTTTTTCAATAATATAAAAATGAATTAAAAATTTTTAGTAATAATAAAATAAAATCATACTTATAAGAATGTCTTTTTTTTTTTTTTTTTTGTATTTACTATAGAAAGTGTATATAAAAAGAAAAATAATATATATATATATACATATATATATATATATATAAAAGCAAAAAAAATTAAAAAATAAATATATAAAAAAAACGATATGACTTCAAAAGTATTAACTAATAAGAAAAATGATTTACACAGTGAATATGAAAATTGCTTCGATATTTTGTTAAAAAAAAATAATATAAAAAATGTCAATTTTCCATTAAAAGAAAATAAAGATAATTCCTACATTCATTTTTTAAAAGATGAAAAATATTATCATAATAAGAAATTTAAAACAGTAAAAATAAAAGAAAAGAAAAATGATAAAAGAAATGTTTCTTTTTCTATTAAAAGACAATCAAAAATAAAAATTGATAGAAGTATTAATAGTGAAACGATAAAACTTAAAGAATATATAATTAAAAATGAAAAAATAAAGAAATGCTCAAATAATTTTTCTAAAAATTATAGTACCCAAAAAGAAAAAGACGAAAGCAATAAATATATAATAGATAAAAAAGATAAAAATAAAATAATTAAAAAAGAAAAAAAAGTTGTTGAAAGATACGATCATGAAACAAACAAAAATAATAAACAAAAAGACAAATACGAAGATAATAAAAAAGAATCAAAAAATAACAAAATTGATAAATATAAAAAAAATATGATAAAAAATGCGATAAATATTGGAAATAATTTCTGTAAGAATATGAAAAATAACAAATTTGAAGAATATAATTATGATTCACTTTATAAAAACAAAAAAGAAGAAAATACAGAAAAATTAGAGGATAGTGAAACTTTAAATTATAAAAACATTAATGGCACCAACAAACTGTTTAATTTTAATTATGATAAAAATTTAGAAAATGATTGTACTATAAATTATGAAGAAAATGAAATATACTATAATATACTTGAAGATAAAAAAGTATTAAATGACAATAAGAAATTTACAAAAAACAATGAAAAAGATATAGAACATTATTTTTTATCATATTTACCAAATGAAATAAAGAACAGTAATAACAATATACAAAATAATGAATCTTTAAACATTGATCAAAGAACTAATATAAAAAATAATCAAAATTATTTATATTTGAATAAATCTATGATGATGAATTCTTTAATAAATAATATAAAAAAATACACAAATTATGAATATGTTATAGAGAAAAAATTATGCTATAATTGTTTTATTTCAAAATATAGAAAACATTTCAATAGCTCTAGTAATTATATGTATATTGATAAATATATGAACATTATAAAAAACAAAAAAGAAAAAAATGAATCCATTAACAACTCTTTTACCTTTACATATGGTTTTTATTGTAAAAAAGGAAAATATCATGCAAATGAAGAGACTGCATCCCATACATTATTTAGCTCGTATAAAATTTTAAAAGAAATAAGCAATCTTTTTAACTATATGAAGAAAAAAAAGAAATATAATTTTTTTGAGGAATTATTTGAGATATTCAACATAAACTCATCTTTTATTAGTAGAAACAAAGATGATTATAAAATCATGAATTCATATATAAACAAAGAAAATAATATAAAATATATAAAAGATGAATTAATAAATTGTTACAATGATGAAATCCCCAAAGTTTATGTAAAATTTTCTCTTCCTTTATATTCCTTAAATGGCACTTTAGAAGAAGATTCAAAAAGCAATTATCACATTATTTATAATTATTTTTTTCAAGAAAAAAATAATAATTTATCAAAAAAAAACCATAATGATAAGAGAGAAGGGAAAAGTAAAAGAACTAATGATATGAATATAAGATATGAATTAGATGGCATAAATTATAACATAAAGGAAGATAGAAATTTAATGAAAGACAATGAAGAAAATGTTTATTATACTCATCAAAATATTAATGTACTACAAAATTATAATTTTTTATGTAAATCGTGTAAGAAAAGTCAGGTTATTAATAAAGAAAAAAAATTTGAAATATCATATTTTAATTATTTATTTAATGTTTCAAATAGTATTAAAGAAAAAAAAAAAAGAAAGAATGAAATGTTTTATGGTTTAAATGATTCTAATAATTCTAGTGGTTCAGATGAATATAATTATTTAAATTATTCAAATAGATATTTAAATAAAAATCAAGAAAAACATTGTAATACTACTACTTGTAAAGGTAATTTTAATAATATTAATTATAATGATAATAATAGCAATAATAACTTTAATAATAATAATGAGGATGTAAATAATATCAATCCTTTAATCACAGATAAAAATGATGAAAGTTATGCTCCATATGTAAGTCAGATAAAAAAGAAGAAAAAAAATGTTTTATTTTTAAATGAAAAAATAATAGAAAAATATACATTAAACGAATATTTAATTAAATGCAAAACTTGTAGATACCTTAACAAGTATGATAATCTGTTCAATGATTATTTACTTAATTTTTGCAGAAGTAATCATGATTTTAAATATCCATTTCCTATTAATTTATTAGATGAAAATGTGCATAAATTTTTTGACAACTATGAAAAGAAAAATGAACATTTGAAAAGATATATAATAAATCAATTGTATATAAGTAATTATAAAAAAAAAGTAAAGAGCAAAGAAAATTTGACAAAGAATTACATGTGTTCATATTCAGATATGGAGAGTTATGAAAATAAAGAGAAGATAATTAATATGAAAGATGAAAAAACAAAAAAAAAAAGTAATAATTATGTTAATGCTATATATAGAAATAAATCTAGTATAGAAAAAAATTTAAATTCAAAAAGGGAAGATAATTTTAGTTATTTAAAAGGGAGAATAAAGCCTGAAATGAAAAAATATTTAGTATATACGAGGAGACAACTTTTTCAAGAATATTATGAAAATTTGAAAAAAAATAAAAAAGGACATAATATAGAAAATTATAAAAATTTAGAAAATAGTAAAAATTTAGATAATAACAATTTAAGAAATATAAGATTAGAAAATAATACAAATATAAATAATGAATATGATATGCATTTATTTACAATATGCGATGGACATAGTGATTCACACGCTTCTCTATTTTTAATTCATAACATTCATAAAATCTTTTATTTTCTTCTAATTCATACTTTTTTTAATATTCATTTTACTTTTAAATTATTATATCCTATATTAGATTTATTATACTACAAAATTTGTGCTCAACAAAATTTAAGTAAGTGTTGCGGATCGTGTATTATAAATCTACTAATAAAAAATAATCATATTTATGTAAGTAATGTTGGTGATAGTAAATGTGCTTTAATAACCTTTGATTTAGATAAATTTGAATACAACGAGAAAAGGGAAAAACTAATAAAAAAAAAAAAAAATAAAAAATGCAATATAATTAATGAGAAAAATAGCCCATATGAAAATAATTTTCATAGTGGAAAAGAAAATAAATCACATTATAACTCTTTTGTAATAAACTTAAATTCCTTGTCTTATAATGAATTAAATTCTGAACACAACTGCAATAACTATTATGAATATTTAAGAATGTATAAGTTATATTATTATAATAATATTAAAAATGATTACAATTATAATCATAACCAAATCGAAGGTGGAAATTATAATAATAATAATAATAATAATAATAGTGATAATAATAACAAACAGAGTGAATGTAGTGATAATATTAGTGGAAAAAAAAAAAAAAAAAAGGGAAAAAAGGATATTAAACTAGATAAAGAGTTAAACGAAAAAATAATAAAAATTAATGATTTTATTTTAAATGAAGAAAAACAGATAAATATAGGAAACTTTTCGTATGATTTAGTAAAATTTAATAGATTAGATGGCTGTTTGCACCCTTCTAGGGTTATAGGTGATTATGATATAAAAAAAAAATATAAAGGAATAAATATTTTATCAAATACTTCCAATATTTACAAGTATAATATGAATAATATTAACTTCTTTAATAATATTCATTATATTTACAAAAGTATAAATTGCAATAAATGTAAAAAAAATTATATTTTAAGTAGTTATGGTAAAATAAATTCTATAAATAATATAGTTCTTTTAAATAACTATAAAAAAAAATTTCAAAATAGTAAAATAGAAATTTCTAATATGAGACATTTACTTAATTCTGATGATAATATTAATTCAAATAATTGTAAGAACTTTGATGAAAATCTATACTCGTTAAAAAATATAAAAGGGGAAGGTGATAACGATAAAGAAGAATATAAAAAAAAAGAATCTATTCAACAATTTTTCAAGGTTCATAGAGAAAATTTCACTGTTGATAATATTAATAAATCTCAAAATAAAAAAGAAAAATTAAATTCATATTTGAATGAGCAATTTGTTCCATATATAAATATTAAAAATTCTAATTTAAATAAAAATTTTTTATATAGAATAGATAAAAAAAATTTTTTTCATTTGTTAATTATTGCCTCTGATGGAGTATTTGAATTTATTAACCCTCTTTTTATATTAAATATTTTAATAAAAAATAAATCTATTTATAAAAAAATTCAAAAAATTTACAAAATCTATAATACCTTTACTCCTGATTTAAACACAAAAAATGATATAAATTCACAATTGCATAAATATATGATAACAAAAAAAGAATGCATTAAGTTGGCTAAAGATATAGTTAAAAATACTGTAACTAAAGGAAATTTTGATGATAGTACGTGTTTTTGTATTTTTTTATTTCCTACTTTGTTTTATCCTTTGTAAATTTTTAAAAAAAAAAAATTTCCCTTATTTTTTATTTCTTTTTTATAAAAAAAAAAAAAAAAAGTTATTAATTTTCATTATTTGATAAATTTTATTTATGCTTGATAATATTATAAGCTTTCTATGCATATTTTTATTGAATGTAAAATATGCTATGTTGTAAGATGTTTTGTTAAATTACAAATATATATATTTCTTATTTGTTTAATTTTTTTTTATACATTTATAATTTTTTATTTTTCATTTTTTGTATATACTTCGTGTTAAAAAATAAAATAATAAAAAGTGTAATTATGTTTGGTAGAAAAGGGAACTATTTTTCTAATATATAGAATGCTTTAGAATATTTTATATAATTTATATGTATTCCCATGTTAGTATTTTTGTTTTATAATTCAATTTTTTCCTAATATTTTTAAGATCATAAAAATATAATAAATTTTTAATAATTATTATCTTTGTTATAATTTTATTTTTATTTATAAATTTAATATAATTTAATATATATTTTTTAATCCTTTAACATTTTTACGTTTTATTTTTAATTTTAAAATTATTCTTTTTTTCATTATATATATATATATATATATATATATATATATATATATATATATATATATATATATATATATATATACATTTATTTATTTTGTGTGTTCTTTTTTTTCATGTATCTTTATTTTTTTTATTTTATTTTACTTTTTTTTTTTTTTTTTTATGTATATTAAAACTATAAATCTTTACTATATTCATATAGATTTTTTTTTAAGGAAGTATTTTTTTATTTTT